GGGTCACCCTGGGGGACAATGTCGTCTCATGGGTGGGAAGGGGTCACCCCAAGGTGTCTGGGGGGACTGGGAGAAGGTGTCATCTCACGGGAGGGAAGGGGTCACCCTGGGGTGTCTGGGGCACTGGGGGAAGGTGTCGTCTCACGAGTGGGAAGGGGTCAGTCTGGGGAACCAGTGGCCAGAAGCCCAGAGGTGCCATGGTGACCCTGTTGGGGGACAGTCCCTGGGCAGGAGGGGCTGTCCCCTAGAGCCACCCTGTGCCACCCATCCCCGCGCCGCCGGAGCTTGTCCCTGAGCCCTTCGGTGCCTGGGTTCAAGTGGGGACCTGGCTGCTGTCCCCAGGGAGCCCCTCGCAGGGCACCCCATGTGACGGGAGGTCCCCAGTGCTGTTGGGGGACTCCAGCGGGAGCAGCACAGCTTTAGGAACTCATCAGAAACACGGTGCTTCCTCCTCTGCCAGGCTCGTGGAGGTGGCAACTTCCATGCCCAGCTGGTGGCTGGGGGACACGAAGGTCCCGCCGTGCCCATCAGCCTGGGGTGGTCACCTCGTGGTGCTGTGCCACCGTCCCTTTCTTCCTGCCTCACCTCCCTTTCAGCACAGCTTTCAGAGCACCCCAGGCAAAGGTCTGGTGGCATGGCCACGTCCCCTCTAGTGTTGTCCCTGCGTGTCTTGTCACCCTCATCTGGGTTCTCTCTGCTGTTCCGGGCCACAGCTTTGTCCAGGAAGGGTAGTGTCCCCCCCCAGGCACTGATCCTGATCACTCTGCTCATGGAGGAGATGTGTCCCCTTGAGGGACAGCCCAGCACGGGGCTGGGAAGGATGGTGGAAGCTGCAGGATGAATTTAAGGTGGGAGATGTGGTTAAGGTGAACCTGGGAGGGGAGCAGCCACCAGGGACGTGGGGATGGACCTGCTCTGCTGAGGGTTCTGTGGGAGGGATGTGGGGTGGGGGCCTTGAAACAGGAGGGTCCCACATGGGACGGTACATGAGGGCATGTTTGCTGATGATATAAAACTGGGAGGGGTGGTTGACACCCCAGAAGGCTGTGACACCATCCAGCGAGACCTGGACAGGCTGGAGAGTTGGGCAGAGAGGAACCTGATGAACTTCAACAGAACTCGTGGTGCTGTGCCACCGTCCCTTTCTTCCTGCCTCACCTCCCTTTCAGCACAGCTTTCAGAGCACCCCAGGCAAAGGTCTGGTGGCATGGCCACGTCCCCTCTAGTGTTGTCCCTGCGTGTCTTGTCACCCTCATCTGGGTTCTCTCTGCTGTTCCGGGCCACAGCTTTGTCCAGGAAGGGTAGTGTCCCCCCCCAGGCACTGATCCTGATCACTCTGCTCATGGAGGAGATGTGTCCCCTTGAGGGACAGCCCAGCACGGGGCTGGGAAGGATGGTGGAAGCTGCAGGATGAATTTAAGGTGGGAGATGTGGTTAAGGTGAACCTGGGAGGGGAGCAGCCACCAGGGACGTGGGGATGGACCTGCTCTGCTGAGGGTTCTGTGGGAGGGATGTGGGGTGGGGGCCTTGAAAGAGGAGGGTCCCACATGGGACGGTACATGAGGGCATGTTTGCTGATGATATAAAACTGGGAGGGGTGGTTGACACCCCAGAAGGCTGTGACACCATCCAGCGAGACCTGGACAGGCTGGAGAGTTGGGCAGAGAGGAACCTGATGAACTTCAACAGAAGCAAGTGCAGGGTGCTGCACCTGGGGAGGAATAACCCCCTGCACCAGGACAGGGTGGGGGTGACCTGCTGGAGAGCAGCTCTGAGGAGAAAGACCTGGGAGTCCTGGTGGACAAGAGGATGCCCATGAGCCAGCAATGGGCCTTTGTGGCCAAGAAGGCCAATGGCATCCTGGGGGGCATCAGGAAGAGTGTGACCAGCAGGTGGAGGGAGGTCATCCTGCCCCTCTGCTCTACTTAAAGGGAGGGTGTCAGGAGGATAGGGCTGGTCTTTTTTCAGTGGTGCCCAGGGACAGGACAAGAGGAAATGGGCACAAAATTGAATGTAAGAAGTTCCACCTAAACATAAAGGAGGAAGTTCTGTAAATTCTATTCTATAAATTCTATAAATAAAGTTCTTCCCTGTGAGGGTGGCAGAGCCCTGGCAGAGACTGCCCAGGGAGGTGGTGGAGTCTCCTTCTCTGGAGACATTCCAAACCCACCTGGACACGTTCCTACGGGACCTGCTCTGGGTGGCCCTGCTTTGGCAGGGGGTTGGAGGAGATGATCTCCAGAGGTCCCTTCCAACCCCGTATCATTCTGTGAGCAGTGGAGAAAAATGGCTTTTGGGACGGGGTGAGTGTTTGCTCGGGTGTGAAGCCAACACATCCAGCTCCCTCTGCTCCATATTTACCTTTTCCTCATGTTCTTCTTTCCTCCCGGGAATAGTTCGTTAAGGGTGGGTTGTGGCAGATGCGCTGCTCTGGGTCTACACAGCTCCAGCCTTGGGGACTCTTCAGTGACTGTCCCTTCGCTGCTGCTGGGAGGGAGGATACTCCTTGTCTTGTCCAAGCAGCCTTGCTTGGACTGATTCTGCCCCAGGAAGGGGGGTTTCATGGTTGGTTTGTACCAACCAAAGTCTGATTTGGCATCGGGCAGTTGGACCGATGGAGCTGGAAACCCAATTTGGGAAGAATCTGAGGAGGAGGAAGGCGAGGGCCAGCCTTTCCCCTGTTGAAGGAAGTCTGTAAAAGGTTCTCTTTGTTAAATCGAGACAGCAGAAGGATCACTCCATGCTGCTCGAGCTGGGTGTGTTCCTCCTGCTGGGGTGGGACTGGAAACGGAGCCGTTTTTACCCTAAAGCAGCTGGTTTTGAGAGTGGGTCGGGCTGGAGCTGCTGGAGAACTCAGCTTCGGAGCGGGCAGAGTGAGCAGGGAGCTTTGGGGTATCCCCGGGGAGAAAGGGGGCAGCTGCAGGGGGAAAACAGAGCTGACGTTAATCATTTTGGGGAGGGGAAAAAGTTCATAAATATCTTCTGTAACGATTTTCCTGGATTATAAAGAAGGTGGCAGAGAGAGCAGCGCGAGGTTCAATCTAGTGCCAAAAAAAATCCCTGCATTGAATTAGGAAGCGGAAGCTTTTGCAGCTTCCCTGAAGATCTAAGGTAAAGATTCTTACTTAGGCTGGGATTTGGAGGCGCCTGGGTCCACCTTATGGGCAGAAGTCAAGGAAAAAAGTAGGGGAAAAAAATCACTGCTGCATTGGCCAGGAATCGAACCCGGGCCTCCCGCGTGGCAGGCGAGAATTCTACCACTGAACCACCAATGCTCCAGCTGTGGGCAGATGCCTGCACAGCTGGCTCCACAGCTGGCTGTGCCTCCACAGCTGGCCGGTGGCCCTGCCGCAGGGAAGTACTGCGGGCTGAAGGGCCAGTTGGGCAACCTGGGGACTTGGGCTACAGGGGCTCTTCGTTACAGCCTGGCTGATGTGTTAATTATAATTATCTCCAGGTAACGAGCCGTGAGGTTCAGAGGAGGAGTAGGTATTGCATGTGGGAGCTTTCTTTGCTTTTTGTTAGGACTCGGGCTGTAAAATAGACTCATGGAATGCTTTAGGTTGGAAGGGAGCTTAAAGCCCCCCCAGTGCCACCCCCTGCCCTGGGCAGGGACACCTCCCACCACACCAGGTTGCTCCAAGCCCCCTCCAACCTGCCCTTGAACCCCTCCAGGGATGGGGCAGCCACAGCTTCTCTGGCCAACCTGGGCCAGGCTCTCACCACCCTCACACCAAACAAGTTCTTCCCCACATCTCAGCTCCATCTCCCCTCTTTCAGGGTCAAACCCTTCACCATCCTCCTCGGGCTACCCTCCCTGATCCAGAGTCCCTCCCCAGCTTTCCTGGAGCCCCTTGAGGGACTGGAAGGGGCTCCAAGGTCTCTGGGTCCTCTCGGGGAGGTTCTCTGGGGACGATGTCAGCCGAAGCAACGTGTTGGGTGGCTGCAGGGGTCCAAACTCCTGGTGCTGGGCGTGCGTCTGGTTGGCAGCAGTTCCCCACCCGAGCCACCAGCACTCCTGGTGTGTGCCCAGCGGGTCTCTGCTGCCGTTTTTTGTCCTTGCCTGGGGCAAACGGGGCCTGGGGGTTCATGAAGGGTGTGGGAGGCTGCAGGCTGGGAGCCACCGTTGGACATGAGCGGGGAAGAGCTCTGGTTTCACTTGTGAGTTCCCTGTTTCGGTACTGCATTCTCCGGTGTTTATCGTGGCCAAAAGTCTGTTTCTGACTGTGGCTGGGAGCTGACCCCCTGAGGTTTTGTATCACGCAGAATCTAAAACCTCAGTGTCCAATTTTGGGCACCTCACTCCAGGAGAGACCTTGAGGGGCTGGAGTGAGTCCAGAGAGGGGCAATGGAGTTGGTGAGGGGTCTGGAGCACAAGTCTTGTGAGGAGCGGCTGAGGGAGCTGGATATAAGAGGTTCCACCTGAACTTGAGGAGGAACTTCTTTCCTGTGAGGGTGGCAGAGCCCTGGCAGAGGCTGCCCAGGGAGGTGGTGGAGTCCCCTTCTCTGGAGGCATTCTAAACCCACCTGGACATGTTCCTGTGGGACCTGCTCTGGGTGGGGGGTTGGAGGAGATGATCTCCAGAGGTCCCTTCCAACCCCATGTGATTCTGTGTTCAGCCTGGAGAAAAGGAGGCTGAGGGGAGACCTTCTCGGTCTCTACAACTCCCTGAAAGGAGGGTGTAGTCAGGGGGGAGTCAGTCTCTTCTCCCAAGGAACAGGCAACAGGACAAGAGGAACCAGCCACAGGTTGCTCCAGGGGAGGTTTAGGGTGGATATTGGGGAAAATTTCTTCACTGAAAGGGTTGTCAAGTATTGGAAGAGGCTCCTCAGGGAAATGGTGGAGTCACCATCCCTGGAGGTATCTAAAAGCTGGGCAGAGGTGGTGCTGAGGGACATGGGTCAGTGGTGGGTTTGTCAGTGTTGGGTTGATGGTTGGACTCGATGATCTGAAAGGTCCCTTCCAACCCAGACCATTCTATGATTCCACAATTCTAACCCCCCCTGGGGGTTCTTTCCTCTTCTCTCCCCAGGCTGGTGCGAGAGTTCGTGGCTCAGAACAACACGTCTCAAATCAAACACGTCATCCAGATCCTCTCCCAGGAGTTTGCCCTCTCCCAGCACCCCCACAGCCGCAAAGGGGGGCTCATCGGCCTGGCCGCTTGCTCCATCGCCCTGGGCAAGGTAGGTGCAGGCTGCTGGGGGCTTTTTTTGGCTCGTGTGGGTTGCAGTGGGAGATCGGTGGCTCCTCTTGGGTCAGTGTGATGGGGAGACCCGGACTGGTGGCCCTGGCTGCTCCCTGCGTTGTGTTTGAGTGTCCCCATCCCACCCGGCCGTGTCCTTCGGGCACGGGAGCGTTTTCTGCAGCAAAAGGGAATTTCTCTTCCTCGCTTTTCTCACCAGCCGTAGATTTGTTTCAAGATGAAGGCAGTTTTTGTGGAGGTATAACATTGCCATCCTAAATATTTATTTTTTTTTTTCCCAAATCTTGGTGTTTCAACTGACCTGAGTGATGTTTCATTCACCTTGGCCAATCCAACAGTCGCAGTCAGTTCCACAAAAGCAGATCCTCTTTTTTTCGTTTTCTGCCCTGAAATTTTCTTTCCCTCTATGTCCTTCCTCTTGGCAGTTAGTGTTGAGGGGTTTTTTTGGTGTCTCTGTATAGGGATCCCTAACCTTGAAATCCCAGTGTCTGCTGACAAACTTGCCCTTTCCCAGTAAGAAAAGCTGTGGTCCCTAAACGCTCCTCCCTCACCACTGTGCAAGTGGGTCACAGAATCCCATGGGGTTGGAAGGGACCTCTGGAGACCATCTGCTCCAACCCCCTGCCAAAGCAGGGCCACCCAGAGCAGGTCCCACAGGAACGTGTCCAGGTGGGTTTGGAATGTCTCCAGAGAAGGAGACTCCACCACCTCCCTGGGCAGCCTCTGCCAGGGCTCTGCCACCCTCACAGCAAAGAAGTTCCTCCTCAGGTTGAGGTGGAACTTCTTATGTCCAAGTTTGGGCCCATTTCCTCTTGTCCTGTCAAGCGAGATTTAACAGTCTGCTGCTGCTCCTGCGTCGCACCGTAGCATCTCCTTGGCCGTGGTTTCAGTGTGTCTGTCCGTCCTCTGTCTCCAGCAGCTGGACTAGACTCAGGGGGTTGAGTGCTAATTGGTGTTAATGGAGCTAAGAGGCCCAGCTCTTCCTTCTCCTTCCCAGCCGGCTCAACCGGGACATGGGGTTGGAAGGGACCTCTGGAGATCATCTCCTCCAACCCCCTGCCAAAGCAGGGCCACCCAGAGCAGGTCCCACAGGAACATGTCCAGGTGGGTTTGAATGTCTCCAGAGAAGGAGACTCCACCACCTCCCTGGGCAGCCTCTGCCAGGGCTCTGCCACCCTCACAGCAAAGAACTTCCTCCTCAGGTTGAGGTGGAACTTCTTATGTCCAAGTTTGGGCCCATTTCCTCTTGTCCTGTCAAGCGAGGTTTAACAGTCTTCTGCTTCTCCTGGGTCACACTGTGGCATCTCCCTGGCCGTGGTTTCAGTGTGTCTGTCCATCCTCTGTCTCCAGCAGCTGGACTAGACTCAGGGGGTTGAGTGCTAATTGAGTGTTAACGGAGCTAAGAGGCCCAGCTCTTCCTTCTCCTTCCCAGCCGGCTCAACCGGGCAGGGGCTTTGGGAAGGTCATCCTCCTACACTGATGCCCCTTGAGTGGGAAGTTGGCTGATTTCTGTCCCAATTAAGGTCTTTCTCTGTAATTGCCCTCTCGTTAACATGAAGGAGCTCAGTGAGTTGCCTCCAGGGCTGTGCCAGGGTGTCTGGATGCCCGTGGAGGGGAGCACAGACCCTGCGGGCTCACAGCTCCCTCGGGCTGTTGAGTCAAACCTTGTGAAATCTCCTGCAAGGGAAGGAGGAGTTTTGCTCCGTAGTACGTCAGAGGAAGCAGAGGGCTGGGGCAGAGCAGGCTGTGCCTGTTGGAAGAGCTACGAGGTAGATTTATTCCTCTTCTAACAAGAGTCGTGATTGATCTGAGTAGGTTCTTCGAAGCCTGATGGCTTTTATTCTGCCTGCCCCTCTGCTCTGCCCTGGGGAGGCCCCATCTGGAGCACTGGGACCAGTTCTGGGCTCCCCAGTTCCAGAAGGACAGGGAACTGCTGGAGAGGGGACAGCAGAGGGCTACAAAGATGGTGAGGGGCCTGGAGCATCTCCCTTC